AGAGAATGGAGAGACATTGCAAGAAGAAAGTTATCTTTTTTTTAAATTGAGGTGAAATTCACATAACATTCATCATTGTAACTATTTTAAAGTGGCTTCCAGTACTTTCACAATGTTGTGCAGCTCTCACTTCTAATTACAGAAAATTTCAGCACCCTCAAATGGAAGCCTGTACCCATTAAACAGTTGTTCCCCATTTTCCCTTCACCCCTAGCAGTCACTTATCTTCTTTCTGTCCTTATGAATTTGCCTATTTTGGACATTTCATATAAATGGAATAATAAAATGTGTCCTTTTCTGTTTGACTTCTCTCAGCATAATATCTTCAAGGTACATCCATGTTGGAGCATGTGACAATACTTCCTTACTTTTTTTTCTGGCTGGATACAGTTATTCCATTATATGTATATATCACATTTTGTTTATCCATTCATTAAGTAATGCACACTTGAGTTATTTTCATTTCTTGGTATTATGATGTGGCTTCTTATTTTGGGAGAAAGGTTTTGTGAGGACAAGATTTCAATTCCTTTGGGTATGCACCTAAGTGTGGAATAGCTGGGTTCTATGGTGACTCTGTTCAGTCATTGGAGAAGCTGCCGGGCTCTTTTCTAAAAGAGCTGCCCCAGTTGACATTCCTGCCATCTATTATTGCTTCAGCCCTGGAAGTGATTCTAAGAGGTTGTTCTCTAAGGTGAAATCATATACAAACCTCCTGAGGTCATTCTTCAGACCATGATCCAGGACATTTTCTGTGCTATATAGGATTCAGCAGACCTATGCTTCCTGACTCACTGTATCATGAATGAAGTATTTATTAGACATCTACTATGCGCAAAGTTGTGTACTAGGTTCAGAGAAGGTACAACATGAACATGGTTGAGGGTCCTTGTACTCAAAAGTGTGCATTTTCGGTAGATGTGAAAATGGGAAAAATTAATTTAGATTTAGTTAATTGGTTTCTTGAAAGTACTTTTTAGGGCCTTTTCTAGGCCTATGTTCTTCTTTTCCTAGGAAGTAAATTTTACCACCAATTAGATGAAGTTTTCCATGTGTATATCATATCTCAAAGCATTGGAGCTGTGTACAAGTGTGTCCATCACTGAGCAGTAACAATGGTCCGAGATAATTATATTGTATTCCCACTTATTTCTAGTTATAGGAAATTTCATTATAATTTTCATATGCCTATTTTGATGAGTGAGGCTACATTTTAGTGATGCTATTGGCCATTTCCCCCCATTTTTTACAATCCAGGTCTATAACCTCTTTTCTTCCTAACACCTATATTGACTTATAAACCTGAGGTTACTTCTGAAGTAGGTGGACAATTCTCCACCCACCAAGCAGCCTCCGGAAACCCAGTCTGAGCTCATGCATCCTGAGAGCATAGACCATGGGGTTGAGAGCAGGGGGGATAACATTGTGCAGCACATTAAGGAGTACAGGGATAAGGGGAATCTTTTCTTTTACAAGGTTTGTGACAGACAGCACAATGATACCTGTGTAGAAGAAGAGGATGAGGATGAGATGGGAGCTGCAGGTGCTCAGAGCCTTGGACATTGCTTTGGTTGAGTTCAGCCTCAGCACAGAGTGAAGGATTAGTGCATAGGAAGAAAAAACAAGAGCCATATCGCTCCCAAGTATGATCCATGCTGAGAATAGTTGGTAAAATTTGTTCACAGTGATGTCATCACAAGCCAGGCTGATGACCCCCATGTTAGAGCACAGGCAGTGGTCAATTTCATTCTTGGAGCAGTAGAGTCTTTGGGCAGCCAGCACAGGCACTGGGATGGTCACCAAGCTATTTCTGAGCACCATGAATCCCGTAACTTTGACCATAAAAGCGTTAGTGACTATGGAGGGGTATCGAAGAGGGTGACAGATGGCTATGTATCTGTCCACTGCCATGCAGAGGAAGATACCAGACTCCATACCAAAGAAACAGTGGATGACATACATCTGAGCAAAACATTCAGGGAGGCTGATGGCCTTGGCATCAAACCAGAAGATAGCCATAATCCTGGGCATAATGGTGGTGGCCAACCCAATGTCGACAAGTGCCAATATGCCCAGAAAACGGTACATGGGCTCATGTAGCGTGGGTTCATGTTGGATGGTGATGAATATGAGGATATTGGCAGCAAGAGCTAATAGGTAGAGCAGAGCCAGGGGCAGGGAGAGCCAGTGCTGCCACTCGTGAATGCCTGGGAGCCCCATCAAGATGAACTGGGAGATGTGGAGGCTGGAACTGTTGGTAGCACTGGTGGAGGTGTCCATGGCACAGGTGCCCTGTTCTCAGTGCCTTTCCTAAAACTAAAATATGAAGGAGGTTACATTTGAAAATTCAGCTGAGGGCCCTAATTAGAGACTCCTACCAATGACCCAGTTTCTTATTTCTTATTTTTTAAAATTTATTTTTTCCCCATCACCTTTTATTCCCTCTGTATCCTCTAATACCTCCTCTGACCCCCCTCCACCCTGGCAATCACCACACTGTTGTCCATGAATGACCCAGTTTCTTAAATTGTGAAAAACTG